CCCCCCCCCCCCCCCAAAAAAAAAGAAAACTGCTGTCTGATGGGTATCAAGGTTCTAGTCTCAGTCCCATTTCTCCAGTGAAGGAGAAGTACATATATCAGGTATGTTACATTAACACAATACTATTCATAAGAAACATTTCGTGCTTCTTACCTGCAAGAGACCCAGAGAAGAGTTTACTCACTGAGCAATTATCACACCTTGGACCAATGACCTGCACCCAGAGATATCAAAAACAAATGATGGAATATTAAAACTAACAAAGTAGCACAAGAATTGCTGAACCCATCTACCAACAGCACTATAAATATTCTAAAATAGTGGTGATTGTTGAGTGAGATCAGAAGGTTTAATCCTGTTAACCTGAAATATTATCCTCAATCACCCAAACTAAGCCCTGTGACAAGCTTGTGTTAAAGGCGGTGTGCTCTTCTAAAGCTTCTTGTTGAAAAATCCTAGGCCTAACCTAATGCCTTTATGGTGATATTCACATTACTGACATGAGTGCTTATCTAATCATCCATTAATAATTGTTAATTACACATGTTAGTATTTCAGAATGTGGCTATTGGCGATATTAATAAGGTGGTCGCATTAACTGGGTTTCCTTATAAGAAAATCCATGGTGTATAGCCAAATCTTTGTTGACGTCATTGTTTACATTTTTCCTCATTAACATACGACTTTGCGCATAGAAGGGATCATGCTAGACACGATTTTACCAGAAAAACTTAAAGAGCTTGTGAAACTTAGTAAGTGGTGAAATTTTTGGCTCTTTGGGTGTAATATTCGAGGAGAAATTAGCTTTCAAAAACATCAAAATTTCTGTGTGGCAATAGCGCTAATCAGCTCATACATTCTTTGTAAAATTTTGAGCTTTTAAACCCTTGTCGCACAAAAAGTATTCAATACATCGCGCTCAAATTCCTTGGGACAGTTAATCGTGCTGTGCCCTTTCAATATTCAATATTAATCTCTTTGTAGCTCCATCAGAAACTGTATCGCATATGGTAATGAGGCAAATATTGTAAACAAAGATTCTCCTATTACTAGGACAAATAAAAGTGGCCATAATAACGAGGTGACCGTAAGGCAGGGCTTCACTGTATTCACAACAATAAGAAGACAGACAAAACTCAAAACTTGATCTATAATGAGTCTAACCACAATTAGAGACACTAAAATTCTGTTACATGTTAGTACTTACCTTTTTGTACTGTTCATATGACACAAACTGAACAGCACCATATGGAAATACTCGTAACATCAGTGCACCATTTCCTTTGAAGAAACAAATAGTACATAAGACTCCATGTAAATGCTAACATAAATTGTACTAAAAAATAAGCCCACAGTTTGTGCATGTGTCATAGATGAAGCATGCTTTGACTTGCACGTGTACATGAGACCATATTGTTATTTAGGATGATTTGATGCTATAACAGGCACTAAGTGATAAAATTTAACCACAACACTGATCACTTCCCTACTCAGTCATCAGGCTCCTTGTTCAGTGGGTAGTTCCAATCCTAGGCCGAGGTGATCTGGCACTGATCATGGAGCTGTGCGACTATAAGAATGTGGATGCTAGCTGAGTGTAGTGTGATGAAGGGAACTAGATATTGATGTGTTTAATGCCCTAAAAATGGTTAGAAACTAAATGAAGTCAAGGTGGAAACTGTCAACAGTCAACATGCTGCAAACTGTGATAAGCCAATTAAAATGTGTTGACCCTTGAGTTAAGCAGTAACAATATTTGCGGCAATCTCATCTGAAGACTTGTATTTCACTTTTGTTATCCCTTGCATCTTGCAATTTCTCACACAGACATCTTCCATTTTGTGGATTGTTTTTGTCTCTTAAGCGACAGACTAGGCAATTTTCCATGGTCTTCGCAGTCCCAAATTTGAACACAAGCGCAAATTGCAAGCAAATGTTTACTCCGTGCCCTAAAACAAGTGACACAAAGCAGGCCAAAAGGGTCTTTTGATTAATGTTATCATGATTCCTGGAGCCTGCAACTTTGGTAGTTTAGTAGTAATATCTTTGTGTTTGCACTATTATTGTAAGTTCTTAGTAGCATATTTTGTAAGATGTCTTATCAAGAATGCTTCTTTGCCAGCAGGCTGGTCAGTTCTTCCACCACAATATGTTTGTTTATTTATTTACTTACTTACTTACTTATTTATTTATTTATTTATTTATTTATTTATTTAATACTGGATATTGGGTGATTAAAGAAAATATCCATACCTACACGCAAGATGCAAGTTAGGAGATAAGACATACGACACATAAATAAGAGATGAAAGAAAGAAGATGTGAGATTCAAGATAAAAAATGTGAAATTCGAGATATAAGATACAAGATAAGAGATACAAATAGAGGAAAATGCGAGATAAAGAAAATTCAACATGTCAGATAGAAAATGCAGAATGGGACATAGGAAGCAAATTATCTCACTCACAACTATGACATGGTGGCTGCTAGTAAAGTAGGTGTTCGTCTACATGTGTTTTGAAAATGGAGTTCCTTGTATTTATTGCCGGGTATGCTTGCTGAATTCTGTAGGGGTCCACAAATGATCCCCAAATTGGACTGCAAATGATCCTGGACCAGAAATGATCCTCATATTGGACCTCAAATGACCAAAAAAATGTGCTAAATGCAAAGAAAAATGTGATAGGACTTACAAAAAGAAGTATTCTGCAGTTATCCTTCGGCAATTGAAATATTGAAATGACATAGTTGAAAACTCCATCAATTCTAAGAAGGTATCCAAGCCTATCATCAGACTGATCTGAAGAACCAATTGCTGGCCTCAAAAAACTGTGTTTATAATAGATACGAATTTAAAAAATAAAACGTTCATAATAGTCAATTACTAGCTCATGGTTTAATTTTTTTGACTGCCAGGTATCTGTTTTTGTATGGAATGCCGAAGCTAAGAAAATTCGTCCACTACAAAACCAAAACACTATTTAGAATTGCTTGGCATTTCTGAACAAATATCTGCAACAAGAACGTAATGCTGTACGAATATCAGAAATAGAGCTTTTTTCTCAAACTTAAACTGTTCACAGCCTCTCTACTTACGTACATGAAAGAAAAAGCAAGTGAAGCAAGCATGAAGCATGTGGGGGTGGGGGTGGGGTTTGCAAGTGAAGAGAGCCATAAGTCAAGTTAAGTCTTCCGTTTTACGCTGGTGTCCAGTTATCTCCCAACTCTATCCGTGCATTCAATGATAGAATAAAAATACAAAAAAATAGAGGGCTGTGAACAGTCTTCTCAGAATCGCCTTAATTACAATTTCTCAAATTTTAAGCATTTCAAACAAATATAAATTAAATTCTATCAAAAACTATTCCATGTCTGTCCTTTCTTTGGCAACAATTCAGTACATCTACATGTACATATAAAATACTCGCTAAACAACCATTATCCTTATTGACAATGGTTCATTCGCTCGTTGGCATCTACTGATAGTAACACTAGTTACGTATGATATATTCTCCACTATGTCTTGTGTTTAATGAGTTAAGGAAACTATTTCAAGTCACATGGAAATGACTGATAAAAGTCAAAAGCTAATTAACCAAGTCAGTTAAAGATCATTGCTAAGTAGTTCCACATTTTAATACAATTCCTAAAAAGTTCAAGAAAGCAAAATGTCTTACATGTCTATTTGCCATGAACATGAACCCCGATCATGATCAGTGCCTGGTGTGTGATGTACTGAGTGCATCATGCATTTAGCATTCTGGATGCCTGTAAGACCTATATACGTCAAGAATTGTCAAAACCCCTGCACCCTGATGACAGCAGTTTCAATAAAACTTCTTCAGCAAGAGATGATAGAAGTGCTTGATGTTTACTCAATTTACAAAGACAAGATTTCCAAGTTTACATGAACATTGTATGATAACAATAGAGTCTCAGATAAGTTCAAATAAATTAGCTATGTAAAGCTAAATATTTAACAATTATTTCCCACAGTGGAGGTGGCTAGGGGAGGATATTTATCAAGCAGCAAAGCGGCGAAGTAAATATCCACCACTAGCCACCAACACTGTGAGGAATAATTGTTTTAGTATATACCAAACCAGTAGGATAAAATATCCGCAAAAATTCACTCAGAAGACTACAAAAGGTCTTCTATTATTTAAGTTTGTGCGCAAAATGTGCAACAACGCAAGAAAAGTCACATGATACATCAGGTGATGGACAAGGGTCTTGTGTGTTTATTGAAATGTCAGCACGGTAAACACAGCGAAAAGATGTGGTCAATGCCTTGATCTCTAAGAAAAAATCATTCAGTTTGGTCCTCAGAGAATCTTCACAAGTTTTACTGAAAGCTGCTGCCCAGAACGTTGACATTGGAGTTGAAATTACAGCTGTGGAACGTGCCTCCAGGATCAAAGTCTTCGACCAGATGCTGCAGTTCATCTTGAATGCCACTGAAGGAAAAATTTCCAGCCGTAGTTGTACTTGATGTTGTTGTTACTTGGCTTGATGAAGAAGCAGCAGCCATTTGAGGAACCACCACGTTCCGAAAATCAGAGTTGATAAAGTTTACTATCTCAAGAGACATAATTTTCTTGCAGGCAGGTAAAACTTTTGAAGGCACTTGTTGAGTTGCTCTGCCGACATTTCTTCAAAAGGAGTTGTGAATTCTTCCTGCAGTTGAAACCATTCTGTGAGATATTTTATGGAATTTCATCATTGAAATTGTTTTAATTTTGCATTCCTAAATTCGCTACCTCAAAACAATAACTTTTACTTAACTTAGCAATTGTAAACAAATTGTGTTGGCTCAGTTTAGGTGATAACTTCAAGGCTAAAAATAATAAAACCGTACCTGTAAAACCCGCCAGGCCGAATTTTGTTGCCTTCTTGGTGTTCTCAGGCACAGCTGCCTCATTTACTGCTAAAATTTGCTCTTCTGTCACAGTAGCAAACCGGGAAGCCATTTTGCTTAAGACCATCGCGGCACGAGCTCGGAATAGCAAACACTATTCTGAGTTTGAGTAACCAATCAGAATGTGCGAAAAGCACTATCCACTGCTTTGGTATATACTAATAAGAGTTATTCCCATTTTTATTGAGTGCATTCTGGTTTAAAGCTGATAATGAGGTGATCAGTTTTGGCTCAGGACATTTTAGTAGGGTTGGCAGTTAAGGGCAGAGAAAACTAAGCAATAGGACACAATTTTATGTTGACAGCTGCCTCTTTCTTTGGCTTCTCCAGATCAAAACAACTAACATTATATTCTGAATTATCTTCTATACCTCTGTAATAACCCAAAGCTCCTTCCTTCTGGTAAATGACTCTTAAAGCTCGTAAAACACCTGAAAATCAAGACAAACAGTGACAAACAGTGGAACCCCGTTAATACGGCCGCCAATGGGCCATAAAAATTTAGCCATAGTAACGGCCGGGGTGGCCATATTAATGTGTAGGGTCAAACTGCATGACGGGTCTAAATTGAGTCAGATGTATCACAATACACTTCTAAACCACTATCCCTTGACAAGCATCTGGAATGCAGATATAATTTAACTTGAATCTGTGCATAAAATATTAACAATGGAAAGATGCACATGACTGGTTTGAGTGGCAGTATAAACGGGGTAAAATT